GGCTCTGCCTGTGGGGCAGCTCCAGCAGAGCCAGCCCCCAGCATGGAGCAGGAGCTGACACCATCAGGGGACCCCAGACGACATGGAATGGGGCCAGGTGCAATGCAGAGATTACCTGGACTAGCCAGAGGATGCTCCATAGAACCCCAGGTGTCACAAAATCATCCCCAAAGAGGATGGTGCCTTGGTACTTGGGGAACCTGAGCACTCAGGTGAGCATCCACATGATTTAGAGCACCTGTTATGGCCTCTCGGCACTACTGCACACCCAGGAACTCTGCTCCAGATGATTTTTACGCAAAGCACCCCTCCTCCTTTCAGCATGGGGCAGCTCCTTCTCTGGCTGCCTTCCCAGCTGAGGGTGCCGGGTGAGACAGGTCAGTGCCCCCCAGCCCTGCAGCCCTTCGAGGAAGGGAAGTGACCCCTGCACAGCCTCCCCCCGTCTCCAGTGCCTGCAGGCACAAAGGAGTTGCTGACAGCAGACAACAGGGAGAGATGCTGCTGCGCTGCCTTCCCTGCTGGGCATCCCTGGGGTGCCGAGCTGACAGGCAGGAGCTGCCAGAGAATCAATCAGGCAGCTGGCACTTACCTGTCCTGAATGGGAGGCAGGGATGGTGGAGATCAGCAGTGCTGGCAGGTAGCACACACCCCTCTGCTGCCAGTCACCAGCATCCCAGTCGGCCACCTGCACCCACTGGGAGGTGAGGACAGCTCACAGCATCCACCTTTCTGCAGCCACTGCTGGCTTAATGGTGCCTGAATAACCAGGCAGATGGATGTTGCAGCTGTTGAGCTGGGCTGTCCCAAATAGAATCAGAGAATTACAGGAGCATAAAGTTTGGAAAAGCCCTTTAAGATCTTGGAGTCCAAATATTAACGCACCGGGTTAATGCAAGGTCCATCACGGAACCAGGCCCCCAAGAGCCACATCCATATCTCTTAAATCCCTCCAAGGATGGTGACACCACCACTGCCCTGGGCAGTTGTGCCAGTGCCTGATAGCCCTTTCAGTGAAAACTTTCCCTAATATCCAGCCTAAACCTCCCCTGGTACAATTTGAGAATATTTCCTCTTGTCCTGTCATTTGTTACCTGGGAGAAGAAACTGACCCCCACGTAGATCCATTGTCCTGGCAGGGACTTGTGGAGAAAGATGGTGCCCTGGAAGGATTTCATGAGATGTCAGGTGAAAATTGGGCAGCAGAGGCACTTGCCACCCTGTGTGACACTGTGTGGCACACTGCCACTTGTCTGAAATGTTTTTAATTGCTGTCCCAGGGGATGAGTTATTCCTATGATGGATGCTTGCACAGAGCAGGTGTGAGGAAGAAACACAGGTATGCGGCTTAAGTGCCAGGATTTCAGGCTCCAGCCCTTGCTGGCTGTCTCCTGTCATTGATGCACATCTCTGTTGGCTCATGCAACAAGAGAAGATAGATGAGTGCACAGCAGCCCTGGGCAATGCTGGGAAAGCTGGTCCCATCCCTCTCTCTCTTGTTCCCTGTTGAGGATATCGGGGCTTGTCATTATTCGACATCTATTGGTTAATTTGGCTGATTGTTCCCCATTCTTTAATGTATCCGTTATTTATTTATTCTCTGGTGTAACAAGCAGTTCCAGATTGATCACTTTGGCATGTAAATGAGCTGCTCTAGTGCTTGTCACTGAAATTTGTAGATTGGGGGAGTTTGCAATCAAACACAGCCGGAATCTAAATTACAGCATTTCAGGCAATAATAGCAGGGAGAAGACAGGAAGGATGTGCCATAAATAAGATGGTATCAGAGCAGGGTGCCCTGAGCTGTGCTGACAACACTCCAGGAGCCCCAGGTTGAGCAGCAGGAGTCCCTGCCCTGCAGAGCTGGGCTGTCCTGGCAGGCCTGGCTCCTTCCCCAGGGGAGAAGGGCGGAGGAAGCAAAAGGCTTTTGGGAATGCAGGGCCTGGCTGGGGACCAAAGGCTGCTCACACTGGTCTCTGAAGAGCCCAGCATGGGGAAAGTGTTTTCAGGATTACAGCCTCAGGACTCTAGCACAGAATAGTGATTTGATTGCCACCATGGATCATGTTTGGCATCTTCCCACCTCCATCAAAAGTCAATGGATGCATCCAGGATGAGATTCTGTCCCTCCTAAGGTCAGTAAGAAAGATCACACCATGTAAATAAGAGATCAAAGTGCCCTAGGCCTTCTTCCAGGCAGTGGGCACAGGTGGGATGGGATCAGGGAGCCAGCCTGGATCTTTGCAACATCAGGGGAGAAGAGCCTGTACCCTTCCACGCCAGGGTATACCTGGAACAAAGTCCTGCCAGAGAGCAGTGATGTCCAACAGGCAGTGTGCTGTGGGTCTCAGCAGAACTGCAGAAAGGACCTCAGGGTCCTGGTGCATGGCACGACTATT